AAATGTACTATTTTAAATCTCAGTGTTAATTATTTCCAAGTGGTTGCATATTATTGTTAAATTAATTGTTGGAAATTTACTTTGGGTCCTGGCAAATGAACTCTGTGCCAAAAGCTGCCATTTCTTGTGTGCTCTTTAATTCTGAAGAGTAGCAGAACTCAGGCTGCTGGTAAAGCCTCTCTGAAACATTTTGTTCTTGAGGAACCACTGTCCCTTCTGTGAAGTGTTGAATGAAAAGCTCAGAATGATTTTGCTGTGGTGATAATTTTTCTGCAATCACAGAGGTTGTCCCTTTGCTGAGTGCTGGCACTGTAAACGCAGCGAGCTCTTAAGCCAACAAAGCTGTTCTGATGATGTGAAATAAAAATGCCTTTATTTTGTCCTTTTCCAAAGAGTCTCCAAACAGCTTTCACCTTCCCCACCTCCCTGTGAATGCATCTTTTGTTGCCAGCTGCAGGTGACCCAGGGGAATGGACTCAGCAGCAGCAGGGCTTGAAAATCAAAAAGAGCTGTAAGATCAATGTGTCCAACACAATGGACAGCCACCATCCACTGTGGTCACCACTAAACCATGTCCCCGGGTGCCACATGCCCAGGGTTTTTGAACACTTGCAGGGACAGCATCTCCATCAGTGTCCTGGCAGCCTGTGCCAATGCCTGACAACCCTTTTCTGGGAGGAAATGTTCCCAATATCCCATCTAAGCCTCCCCTGGCCCAGCCTGAGGCCGTTCCCTCTCCTCCTGTCCCTGTTCCCTGGGAGCAGAACCCACCCCCCGGCTGTCCCCTCCTGTCAGGGAGTTGTGCAGAGCCACAAGGGCCCCCCTGAGCCTCCTTTTCTCCAGCCTGAGCCTCCCCAGATCCCTCAGCTGCTCCTGGTGCTCCAGACCCTTCCCAGCTCTGTTCCCTTCTCTGGACACCTCCAGCCCCTCAGTGTCCTTCCTGTGGGTTCACTACAAGAAATGTTCAATGTCTCTTGACCCATGCTGGTCCCTCTGCAGTTTGGCCAGCAGAGCCTTTTGCTTTAAACTCCTAATTGCTGTAAATTTGAAAGTTTCTAATTTTTGCAGCCTTGTAGTCTGGCAGCAGCAGCTGAGTAGGTCTGTTGGATCTGGAAGAAGCAGTTGTCATCCAGGGGTCCAGCAGCTGTGGCTGATACATCCCTGGAAGTGTCCAAGGTTGGATGGGCTTGGAGCAACTTGGGACACTGGAAGATGTCCCTGCCATGGCAGGGGTGGAACTGGATGGGCTTTAAGGTCCCTTCCAACCCAAACCATCCCAGGATTCTGTCCCCCACATGCGTTCAAGAGCTGGACTCCTTTTCCAGAGCATGCAGGTCTGCATTGACCAGCACCTCTCACACATTTGGGCTTTTCTGTATTTAAAACATCTCAGGTATGTGCTGTGGTAGGGCTGGACAAAAAAAAAAAAAATAAAAAGGAAGACTTTTCTCTGGAATGATTCACTGTAAAATAAGTTTTACCTTCACACAGGTGACCTTGTCCTCCCACTCTTCTTTAATGTCAGCTTTGTTTACTGCCCTTGCCTGTTGCCCAAACTAGAAGGACCAGTGAGCAGTCTGGCTCAGGGAAGCTTTTTAATAATCCAGCTCCACCTTGCAACTGAAGCCTCATGTCACTCAACCAACATGACAGTAACCAGGGAAAAAACCCATCTGCCTGGTTTTTTTAGGTAGAATTTTGTTTTATGCTTCCATGTCTTCTGTGCTGCAATGGCTGATTTAAGCACAGCTCAGTTGGGTGGGTTCTAAAGCAGTTCTGAGTTAAATAAAACGTTCACTGAGGTTCTGCCTAAAATATTAATAACTTGTTTTCTGTAACATTGATGGTAACCTCATCTTTTGTTTCTCAGGGGGTTATTTAATATGAGATACATTAATTTATTAAAATAGTTTATACTTTAAAAAGTGTTTAGTTCACAATCCTGCAAGGAGTTGGCATCTCATTATCTCGTGATTCCTAAGGGTCAGAGCAGGCTCTGCTTTCCATCCCTCCAAAAAGAATTATTTCACTGTGAGTGCCTCACAGTCCTTCTGCTCCCTCAAGAGCTGCAGCCATCTGCTACATCAGAACAGCAACCCCAGTGTAGCTCATCCTGTACACCCTGAGTGTCCAGCTTAGTGAAGGGAAGAGGAATAAAGGAGAACATGCAGCAGATTCCTTTGAGTATCAAATCCCAGGGGCAGGAAGATCCTTCCCTTTCCTGGTTCCTGGGAGTGTAGTTCGGCAGCTGAAAAGCTGCTTTGATTTCAAAATCAAAATTTGATGGTTGAACATCTCTGGTTTGGAGACTTGTGTGTTTATGCCTCATCATAAATATATATACACATATATATATTTATGTGTGTGGTTTTGTGTAAATAAAACCCCTCCTGCTGTGTTTCTGCTGCGTTATCTGCACATGCCTTGTGACCAGAGGGGATGGTGCTGATGGGCATCGTGGAGCCACTTACACAAGCCTTCCATGGCCAGGAGCCTTTGATCAGCAGTGCTGGAGAATCCATCAGGCCTCCCCCACACTTCCACCAGAGCTCTCTCCCTGCCCTGTCTCAAAGCCTGTGGCATGTCCTGAGGTTATAACCTGGGTTTTCACCTGGCTGTTCCAGCCACAGAAAATGTGCCAGGAGTTTTGTGTAGAGATGAACAGCAGACTCCATGCCTGTGCTGATATATTTAAAATAGTTTGGTTTTCTGCACGGCCAAGATGGCTTTTGTTTGGTTAGGATTTGTTGCTTTTTTTTTTTTGGGCAAGTCTCTAGGTCCAGACTCTGTTCTCTGTTTGCAGGCCATCTGATATTTACCCTTGCATGAATTATCAGGCTTTCAGCTGTTCCCTTAAAATATTTGTGCTGAATTTTAGGTTTCAGTCCTGATTTAGAGGGTAGTAGCTGATTCCTCCAGGCTTCAGTGCACTGGGCCTTTCTGCTCGGTGTGGAGCTGATGTTTCACAGCGTGGTCAGAGCTGAGCTGCTGGGTATGGAGAGCTGTCAGCTCCTCATCACTTCTTAGGCTGATGTTATCCCTAAAAATTCTGGTCATCTGCACATATCCTTGCCTTGATGCTGCTGCTGTTTGCATGTTGGTCTGTTCATGTTTTTTTCCTTGTTACCTGCTTTTCTTCAAGGTTTCTAACCAGGAATTGTTCTGTCCAGCGCCTGCTGCCCTGGTTTGTCACCTGCTCCCTCCCTCTGTCCCCAGCTGTGCTGGGTGTCCAAGGGAGGAGCACACCCTGGGTTTGGAAATGCTCTTTGTGTCATCATTACAGCTCTCTGCAATAGCTGGAGGGGAACTGCTTCTAGAAATTGCACCTTACTCCTCTTCCCCACGTTTCTGGCTCTGAACAGGGCTCAGACTGGCCTGTGGAAGGTGGTGACATCACACTGCTATTGCTCAGAGTCCCTGTTCAATCAGGAGCTAATTGGTTTGAAAAAAAACTTCACAAACCCAAAGGGATAAAAAGTATTTTCTGAAACTGCTGCCTTTATTTTAACCCAGCCTCTTTCATTCCTTCTGCTTCCCTGGCGGTCAGTTCTGCCAACTGCTAGACAGATCCTTTTCCTATTCCCAAAGGTAGCTGTGCACTCATGATCCTCTCTACAAAACCCCAAACCTACCCCTGCCCCCCGCCCCCCCCAAAAAAACCCCAAACCCTTCATTCTTACAAGAATGGTGGAAACAGCTCTTTTCACTCTGTCTGGTTCTGACTGTTCAGAGAAGTTTTCTCATCCCTCTTAGACCTGAGAGGTTTTTAATTTTCTGTTTTCTGTCTCTTTGCTTATTGTTTGGTTCTTCTGCATATCCGTGTTGGAGAGCCAGTTTTAGTACTGTCCTTGTAGCAGAGAACAAAATGTCAGCATCCATAGACACTGTGATAAAACGGATTGAGAACAGTTCAGAGTCAAAAAGCAGCTGTTAATGTTCCTGTAACTTCTGTGATTTGCTAAATGCAGCTGTCATTGTTGGAGTCCTTCGATGTTGTGGGTTGGGAGAGGCTTTAAAACTCATCCAGTGCCACCCCTGCCATGGCAGGGACACCTTCCACCATCCCAGGCTGCTCCAATCCCAGTATCCAACCTGGCCTTCCAGGGATCCAGGGGCAGCCACAGCTGCTCTGGGCACCCTGTGCCAGGGCCTGCCCACCCTCCCAGGGAACAATTCCTGCCCAATATCCCATCCAGCCCTGCCCTCTGGCAGTGGAAGCCATTCCCTGTGTCCTGTCCCTCCATGCCTTGTCCCCAGTCCCTCTCCAGCTCTCCTGGAGCCCCTTTAGGCCCTGCAAGGGGCTCTGAGGTCTCTCTGGAGCCTTCACTTCTCCAGGCTGGGCATGGAAGAGAGGCCATTGAAGGGACTTTTCTGGAAAGGGGAGTGTGGAAAAGGGAAGTGTTTCGGGTGTTCAGTGTTCTGGTCATGGTGGTTGTTCTGGGTTGTTGAGTTGTGTTGCCTGCTGTCGTTTTTCCTTCCTACCAGCAACTCTCAATTTGTCAATCCAGATCAGAGTGGTTTTCCTGCAGCTGCCATGAGTAACACTGAGCCTTGAGGAATATTGGAGGCTTTTGGTGGGCTTTAGGTGTTGGTATTGGGAAGTGAGACCTGATCCACAGTTTCTCCCTGGAATCCTCTTTCCTCCTTGGTGGCTTCATTGAATTAAGCCAATGCACAGTCAGCTCCCCTTGGGCCTAATATAGTGATTATTCTTTGGTGCCCTGAAGAATATTTCATTTATAGAGCTTTTCTGTGAGTATTAAAAGCACTTTGTTAACAGATCTTTAGTCCTGGGAGTAGTTTGTACAATCTGGTTTAGTCTAGACCAGAGAACGTCACTGGTGGCTTTTGGTATCCAATATTTATTTATTCTGTGGTGCTAGAGTGTGGCTTTTGGCTGTGTCATTCAGTGTTGGGGTTTGATCAGAGCAGACCTTAAAAAGACCTCTTTTAAATTTTACTTGAATTGCTGTCAGTAAATGATTTTTTTCTCTTTCCAGAGCGAGGCTATGACCCCTACAACCCCGAGCTTCCCAGGCCCTTGCTGGAGGCAGAGGATGGCACCCTGGCTGACATTACAGATGTCACACCCGGAATTCTGGAGCTGGAGCTGGTCAACAAGGCCATTGAGGCAGTGAAGAATGAAGTGGAGAGGGAGCAGAAGAAGTATGAGGAGCTGCTGGAAACCACAAAGGAGCTTGGTGCTTCAGAGGGCTCCTCACTCATTTCAAACACACCTGTGTCAGCTGCTGGGCCTCAGAATGATTCCTTTGCCTCCTTGGAGTATAACCCAGGGAGCTACAATTTCAATAATAACTCTGACTACAACCCCACTCCCCTGGCTGCTGCTGGCAGGTCCAGTAAATACACTTTGGATTCCTCCCGCTCCAAAGGGAGCTCACTGGAATATGTCCCCAAGGCCGTAGTACAGAATAAAAAATACAGCAGCACTGTCACTAACAATAAATACGTGATTGATGACTCCAAACCTTCCACAGACTTGGAGTATGATCCCCTTTCCAATTACTCTGCCAGGCTGTTGGGCAAAGCCACAAGCAAGGGGTCCAAAAGGGAGAGGGTCTCTGATTATGAGGACTCTTACTCTCCATCACGGAAGAAACTCTGTGAAGATCCTGATGATGACGAGGTGTTGGCCAGGTTCTCCTCCTCTGAAGATGAGGCTGAGGTGGAATATAAAACAGCTTCTGGTAGTTCACCCTCAAAAGCTGGTTCTGAGAGTGAGTCAAACCATGAGTTCTCCAGCAAAGAGCAGAGCACTAAAGTGGATGGCTCTGCTTCCCAGGAGAGCAAAGAAGCAGCACAGCACAGGGAGGACCTTCCAAATTCACAGAAAAACCTTGCCAAGAGCTCACCAGACAAGAACTCAAAAGCAGCAAAGTTGGGTTCTGGTAAGAGCAGCAAGGAAATTGAAAATAAAAACAAAGACTCCAAAGACAAAACAAAAAGGAAGAAAACAGATGTTAGTAAAACACCAGGCCTCAGTGAGGCTGGGAAGAAGGAGAAAAATAAAAATGCAGACAAAGACAAAGTGCTCAAGAAAGAAGAAAAATTAAAAACCAAGAATGAAGAGAAAAACTGCAAAGACAAAAGCATCAAAGTGAAAACAGATGGGAACTTGAAGAAACCTGAAAAACAGAAGTCAGAAAAAGTGGATGGGTGTAAGAAAGAAAAATCCAAGTCCACCAGCAGCAGTTCTGGGAAAAGCAAGAGTGAGAGTGTCACCAAGGGCACAGAGAGAGTGGGGAGCAGCAAGAAGGACTCGCAGAGCAAAACAGCTGATGTGAAAAATGGCAAGGAAAGCTCTGGTCGTAAAAACAAGGAGAAAGGGCCCAAGAGCTCCCTGGAGCAAAGGAAAGACAAGGTCAGTCCTGCAGGACAAGGACACCTGAAGAAGGGTCGGAAGCAGCGGAGTTTGAGTCACGTGGACCTGTTTGGAGATGAGAGTGGAGATGACGATGACAAAGGCCGGCCTTTGTCCTCCTCCTTGCTTGATGTGAGCTCGGACTCGGACGGGGCTGACTCTGGCTCAGCCTCTGACAGTGACAGGGACAGGACAAAGAAAGCAAAACGCTCCAAGTTGTCCAAGTCATCATCATCTTCCTCAACATCTGATGACATTGATTATTCCATCCTTGAGAAAGATGTGGACTTCGAGTCAGATCCCATGGAGGAGTGTCTCAGGATCTTTAATGAATCTAAAGATGTGAAAACTGAAGACAAGGGAAGGCTGGGGAAACAGGTAATGCTGGTTTGGGGGTGTTGGTTCTCTCCCCTCCAAAGGTGGAAGGATTCTGGTTTGGTTTAGTGGTGTTGCTTTTCTCAAGTAGCTGAAAAGGGAGACTCCATGTGTTGGAAGAATCTCTTCCTTGTCCTGACTGAGTGCTTGGAAGTGTTTGCACCTGACTTTACCACTTCACCTGCTGGATTGAAAGCTGCTGCGAAATGTGAGAGTTCAGTTCCCTTCTGTGTGGAAGGCTTTCAGCTTTCAAGGTTATCAATTACTTCTGTCTCCATCTGGCCTGAGAACCTGGGGGTGTGGATGGCTGGAGAAAAGGCTGCAGGGAGTGAGTTTTGGGGGTTTCAAAGCCAATCTAAGATTGCCAGTCTGGGCACTGCCTTCTTGTTGCAGCAGAGTTTAAGGAACATGAGGCAGGTAGAACCTGGACAGGGAGTTGGTGCAGGTAAGTTCAGTATTTGTCAGACACTTTGGAGACTCCCCAAATTCGTCTTTACTATTCTGAATGCATACTACAGGGAGTTCCTCACGATCTCTGGATACCTTGTGGGTGTTGCAAGCAAGAAACTGAGAATAAAATTTCTTCCAGTGGTACCAAGGGCTTCAGACTAAGGAGGTAAAAAGACAATATTTACATAAAAAGAAAATAGTTGAAGGGCACATAATCTGTAGCAGGAATTACTGATCACTGAATTCAGAAAGTGCTGAACCAGGGGCTGCCACTCACAGCAAACAGTTAATTGTGGCCTGGAGTGACAAAGCTCAGCTGTCAGCAGCCATGTGTGGCTCCTTTGCATCCCTGCACTAAGGTTTGGTTTCCTGGTCTTTTGGGAAGGAGGCTCACTGCAGCACAGGGATCCTTCTCTGGGAGATGAGTGTCTGTGGATAGGCACCTGGTGGGTAGGATTGGTCATGGGGCATTTTTTCTTTTGTTTATGGGATTAATTTCCTAGATGGACCCGTTGTGGTTTGACACTGGCCAAACACCAGGCACCCACCAAAGTCTCTCACTTGCCCTCCCCTGCTACAGCTGTGCAGAGGAGAGAAAAAATTCAAATGAAGGGCTCATGAGTTAAGGACCAGGAGAGAGCTCTCCGAGAGCAGCACAGGCTCAGCTTAGAGGTACAAAGTGAGTTTATTGCTAACAAAACCAGAGGAGGATAATGAGAGGTAAAATAAGCCCTTAAAAAACCTTTCTCCCCCAGCCCCTCCCTCCTTCCCACTGACAACACAGGGAGACAGGACATGGCAGTTTTGGCATTTTGTCACTGAAATTTTCTTCTGCTGCTCTGAGAGAGGAGTCCTTCCCTGTGAGACCCTGGGGTCCCTCCCATGGGAGAGACAGTTCTCTGTGAACTTCTCTGGCCTGGGTCCAGTCTCACCAGCAACAGTCCTGCCAAACCTGCTGCAATGTGAGCCCCTCCCACAGGCACACAGTCCTGGCAAAACTGCTGTGGGTTGGGTCACTCTTCCATGGGGTGCAGCCCTCCAAGGACAGGGTGTTCCAACCTGTGAGCAGGGCTCTTCTCTCCATGGGTCTCCTCCAGGGTCACAGCCTCCTCCAGGCAGCCCTCTGCTCTGGTGTGGGCCCCTCCTCCACAGGCTGTGGGTGGATCTCTGCATCCCCATGGATCCCCATGGATCCCCCTCCATGGGCTGTGGATGGATCTCTGCATCCCCCATGGATCCCCCTCCATGGGCTGTGGGTGAATCTTTGCATCCCCTATGGATTTCTGCATCCTCCGTGGATCCCCATGGATCTCTGCATCCCTGTGGATCCCTATGGGCTATATATGGATCCCCTGTAGATCCCCATGGGCTGTGGGTGGATCTCTGCATCCCCCATGGATCCCCATGGGCTGCAGGGGCTCAGCTGCTTCACCATGGTCTCACCAAGGGCTGCAGAGGAAGCTCAGCTCTGGTGCCTGGAGCACCTCCTGCCCCTCCTTCACTGCCCTTGGTGTCTCCATGTCATTTCCCTCACATGTTCTCACCTCCTCTTTTCTATCTGAAACTAAAACTGCAGGCCCCACTTCATTTTGATTTTCTTCTTAAATCTGTTACCACAGAGGCATTACCATCTCCTTTAATTGGCCCAGCCTTGACCAGCAGCGTTTCCATCCTCAGAGCCATCAGGGATTGGCTTTGCTGGACATGGTGGAAGCTTCCAGCAGCTTCTCACAGCAGCCACCTCTGTTCCTCCTCCTGCCCCACCAGGCTGTGCAAAACCAACACAGCTCTGTGCTGTGTGGTCTCAGCAATGTGCCAGGGCTTGGCATGGAGCTCAGGGAAAGGTTCTTCCCCCCGAGGGTGCTGGGCACTGCCCAGGCTCCCCA